TGTCTGATATTTTGCTGCTGATAGATTCTTGTAAGATTTTTTATGGTTTCCCTTCTTATGTTTAAGTCCTTTATCCATTTTGAGTTTGTTTTTGTGTATGGTGTAAGTTGGTAGTCTAATTTCATTTTTTTTTTAAATTTATTTTTATTTTTATTGATTTTTTACAGAGAGGAAGGGAGAGAGATAGACAGCTAGAAACATCGATGAGAAATACCGATCAGCTGCCTCTTGCACACCCCCTACTGGGGATGTGCTGTTTTTGTGTTTTTAAAAAAAATATATTTTATTGATTTTGTACAGAGAGGAAGGGAGAGAGATAGAAAGCTAGAAACATCGATGAGAGAGAGTCATCGATCAGCTGCCTCTTGCACACCCCCTATTGGGGATATGCCTGCAACCAAGGTACATGCCCTTGACTGGAATCGAACCCAGGTCCCTTCAGTCCCCAAGCCGACGCTCTATTCATTGAGCCAAACTGGTCTCGGCTAATTTCATTTTTTTGTATGTATCTGTCCAATTTTCCCAACACCATTTATTGAAGAGATTGTCTTGAACTCCATTATTTGCTCTTACCTCCTTTGTCAAATATTAGTTGAGTTAATAGGTTGGGTCAATTTCTGGGTATCTGTTCTGTTCCATTGGTCTATATGTCTGTTCTTGAGTCAGGACCAAGCAGTTTTGAGAACAGTTGCTTAGTAATACAGCTTGATAGCTGGTATTGTGATCCCTCCAACTTTGTTTTTTCTCAAGATTGCTATGGCTAATCTGGGTCTTTTTTTATTCCACATGAATTTTTGGAACGTTCATTTTAGATCTGAGAAATATGCCATTAGTATCTTAATGGGGATTGCATTGAATCTATAGATTGCTTTGGGTAGTATGTTGATTCTGCCAGTCCACGAACATGGTATATTCTTCCATTTGTTTATGTCTTCCTCTATCTCTTTTTTCAATATAGTCACCTCTACTCCTGGCCCAAGTATAGGTCTTTTACCTCCTTAGTTAAGTTTATTCTTAGGTATCTTAATTTTTTTGTTGGGATGGTAAATAGCCTTCACTTTGAAGTCTATTTTGTCAGATATAAGTATTGGTATGCCAGCTTTTTTTCTTTCCCTCTTGCCTAAAAAATATTTTTCCATCCCTTCACTTTCAGTCTGTGTGAGTCCCTTGTTCTGAGGTGGGTGTCTTGTAAACTGCATATATATGGGTCGTGTTTTCTAATGCATTTAGCCACTCTATTTCTTTTGATTGGAACATTTGGTACATTTATGTTTAAAGTTTTTATTGATAAGTATTCGTTTGTAGCCACTTCATTCTTTTTGCCTGTGTTCCTTTTTCCCTTTGTTGTTTTTGTTGTTGTTGTTATTTGTTTGTTTGTTTTCTTATTCTTTTAACAGCATTCCCTTTAGCATTTCTTGTATTGCTGGCTTGTAGTATTAAACTTCCTTAGCCTTTTTCTGTCCGTGAAGCTCCTGATTTCTTCTTCAATTTTGAATGATACCCTTGTTGGATAGAGTATTCATGGATTCAGGCCCTTGCTTTGCATCACTTTGTATACTTCATTCCATTCCCTTCTGGCCTGATGTGTTTCTGTTGATAAATCATTTATAATAGGAGATCCTTTGTAGGTAACTCTATGTCTCTCTCTTGCAACCTTTAAGATTCTTTTTTTGTGATTAACATTTGCCATTGTAATTGTGACATGTCTTAATGTGCGTCTTTTTGGGTTCATCTTGTTTGAGACTCTCTGTGCTTGTGTGACCTTCCCCAAATCAGGGAAATTTTCTGATTATTTCTTCAAATATGTTTTGCAATTCTTGTTCTTCTTTTTGTCCTTCTGACACCCCTATTATATGTATGTTGCTTTGTTTCACGTTGTCCTGAAGCTCCCTACAAGACCTGAGGCCCTGAACCTAACTGTCCCCTATACCTGGGCTCCTGAGCATTAAAGAGAAAAAATCAACATGATATAGAAAAATGTTAATTACATTTTTCTATATTCTAACCAAACAAGTGGTTAGAATAAGGTGGAACTTGGAGACATTGTAGAAAATAGGTCCCCCTTTCATCTATCGCTAATATCCCACCTTTGTGTGCCAATCCACCCAGCAGCATGAGCCTTGTTTCACACAGAGCTACTTCTTGCAAAGTGAGCACCGGATGTTGCTCTTCACCTTCTTGCGTGGATTGTCTTTGTAGGACACTCCAGGATTTTGCTTTTCCATGCACACAACACAGATATGATTAGTCAGTGTCCCATGGGGAATCTCTGGAAAATGATTGCGTGGGGTCATCGTTGAGGGCAAGGTTCCTTTTGTGGGTGGCTGATGTCCTGTATCCACCATTAAGTTGCAGGCAGTTTCTGAATATATCTGGTGAAATAAACTGGCTTTTTTGAAGCAGTTTGCTGCTTTGAAGCATACAAAATATAAGAATTATAACTGGTCCACATAAAAATTTTTATGAAAAGCTGCCGGGGCCAGTGGTAAATGACGACGAGACCGGTGAAGGTGGGTCATCTGGTCATTTTTGTCACAGCCACTGATATATTTATTACAGTCCTTCCCCAGCTGTGGCATCTGTATTTCTTGCACACTGTCATCTTCATTTCTTCTGTTTATTACTACATTTTGGGCTGGATCGTCATAGTTCAAAATAAATGTGATGGGCTTTCTATCGTGTCTAAACATGTTACACTTTCTTGACATAGATAGTGACTGTCACCCCTAGCAAATATTTTTACACTTTTCAGCAACTTAGGAAACTGCTTCCTATTTTGCTTAGGGTTCCCAAAATTCCTGTGTGTAATTCTGACAGTGCATATTTAGCAAGGGTTACAGAGTTGTAGAACCAGTCCATGACGAGCACATGAGATTTCTTTTCCATTGCACAGGAGGTCAGGAGACAAACAACTGTATTTCCTACTGCGCCCAAACCTTTAAAGGCATTGGTGAAGCACCAGTGTAGATTTCTGCATTCAAAATGTAGCCAGTCTCACCCTCACAGAGAAGGAAAGACTGGATGCCCCACTTTGTGGGCTTATCCTTGATACACTGCTTGATGGCCAAGCATTTTTTTGTTGGGATCATCCCCTCATCTAGGCTCACATGTTGCTTTGGCAGATAGAAGTAGAGAAACTTGGGGAGCAGACTTTCCAAGAAAGGCCCAATTTTATATATTCTATCTGTCTTATCAATATCTGTGTCTTCCTCATCAATTATGTGTAAAAAACTCCAAAGGGCCAAGAATCTGTCTCGAGTCATAACATTTTGAAATCGGGGAGTAAACCCAACAAAGTCAGAGCCCTCATTTGTCCAATAATCCCAATAGCTGGGCTTTATACATAAGTATTCCACATAGATCCTCAGTCCAAGAAAAGCCTTCGTTTCTTCCGCTGTGGTGTCCTTGAAATGTTTGGCTCTGGAGGAGTTGGGCTTTGCTATATGCAGTTGGTGGGCCCGGAGGTCGGTTTTCTCTGTCAAATTTTGCCAGAAAGTATCATCTGAAAACAAGGATAAAAAGTCAATCCATTCACTCTGCTCTGTGATAGGTCCAGGAATGTTCACTGGGCCTTTTCCATCCTTATTGAATTCTGTATTTGGTGATGCAGAATTCCTTGTGCAACCTTCATCACCACCTAGATCTCCCCCATCAGCTGTTTGAGGGACACACACCCCTTCTCTTACTATTGATCTTGCTCTAGATCTTTAAGGTTCAAGATTCTCCTCATCACTCAAGCTCTCGCTGTCTGTGTCACTTGAACTGAAAACGTGTTCGTGATACCTCAGAGTCTGAATCAACCAAAGTATCGATCACCTGTTGGACTGTGATAAGCTTAGACATACTTTGCTTTCCTGTTGAAGTGCTTGGTTCATCAGCTGCTCGTTTCATTGTGAACTTTCAGAATTTTTTCATGTCAAACCACACAAAGTCAATTCAAACACATGGGGGCAGACATTTACAATGGCTAACGATGAGGTTTGACCACGATTGGTTAGTTATTTTTAGTTTGTGATGCATTTTTTTTTTTTTTAATGTATTAGGCAAAGTACCAAAAATTAGGTACAGCAGTATAGAGGCAAATTCGGAAATTACCGAAAAATCAGTACAGCGGTCTGGTAGGTTTAAGATCTTCTCCTGCTTTCTAAATTTTTTTCTTCAGTTGCTGTTCAGATTTGGTGTATTTCCCTGCCTTATCTTCTGACTCACTAATTCAGTCCTCCACTTCTTCTAGTCTACTGTTGAAATCTTCCATTGTGTTTTTTATTGTAGCTATATCACTTTTATTTCCTTTTGGTTCTTACATAAGTTTTTTATTTTTCTCATCCATATAGTTTATGAACTGTATGACCTTTAGTCTGAATTCTTTTTCTGACATATTGAATGCCTTTGTTTCATTTAGTTCCTCTTCTGGTGATTCCTCCTTTTCATTCCGCTGGGGGTTGTCTCTGTCTCCACATTTTTGCTGTCATCAAAGGGTCCAGGCGCTGTGTCACGCAGGGCTTGTGGCTGAAGCAGAGGGCTTGGTGGGAGGGTGTGCATCCCGAGAGTCACCAGAGAACCCAGTGCGGGACACATGGGGCCTGTGTTTGCAGTGGCGGGTGGGCAGGAGCGTTGTGCACCTCGATAGTCACTGGAGGGCCCGTTGCCAGGATGTGTGGGGCCTGTGCCACAGCAGTGGATCGGGAGATGGTTACACACTCAGGAGCCACCTGCGGGCGCTTTTATCCTTTATGCCTTTGGGAACATCTAGGGAGGGGAAGTGGCGTGGTGCCTGAGGCTGACTTCAGGCGTCTGGCGGCACTATCAGGATTGTGCTGGCAGAACTGATGCATCGGTGCATGGCCTTTTCTCCAGAGATTGGATCTGCAGGACTCTGAGGGAGGGAGTGGCTGCCGCCAGGCTGGTGGGCCACGGAGACAGATCTGTGAGCTGAGCGACACTGCTGCTGTGGCAGTGCACTACCACTGGGGGGAGCTCCTGTTTTGAGTGTCTACACCCTGGTGGTCAGTGTATATCATAAAGACCAGTCGTTAACTTTCGTAATGGCTGCTTAGACATATATATATAGACTAGAAGCCTGGTGCACGAAATTCGTACACTGTATGGGGTGTCCCTCAGCCCAGCCTGCACCCTCTCCAATCTGGGACCCTACAGGGATCAGGCCTAAACCGGCAGTCAGATATCCTTCTCACAATCCGGACCGCTGGCTGGCTTCTAACTGCTTGCCTACCTGCCTGCCTGATTGCCCCTACCGATTCTACCTGCCTGCCTGATCACCTTCTAACTGTTCCCCTGCCATCCTGATTGCCCACAACTGCCCTCCCCTGCTGGTCATCTTGTGACAACATGAGGGCGTCACACGAGGGTGTCACACGAGGGCGCAAGGATCACCTAGGCTTTTATTAGTATAGATAGTATACTAGAGGCCTGACTGGGTGAGGCTGGCCAGGAGGAGGGGCTGCAGGTGGTTGGCCCTGCCCCCTGGTCAGACTCCTGGTTGAACTCCCAATTGAGGGGACAATTTGCATTTAGCCTTTTATTATAGGATTCTTTGATAACTATCTATGTTGCAAAATTTTCTACTTTGACTCTCTTAAAGGGATCTTTTGTAGTCTCACTGGTCAGTATCTTTATGGTTAATGCTTTATAACTCTTGTTAAGGTCATGTAGATATAAAAAAAAGTTTTTTAGAGGAGGGATCCAAGATGGCTGCTCAGGTAGACACCTAACCGCAGCAGCACACAACAATTTCAATGGAATACAACTAAAATGTAGAGTGGACATTGCCAGAGCTACAGGTAGTCGACCGACTGAAAATTCTACAACAAGAAGGAAAGAGAAAACCAGAAGGAAAATCAGAGGAGCTGAAAAATCCTAAGGTACGGAGACATGCTGCGCGCACGCATGCACGCGCCCGGAGAGGACGCAGCCGGAGAGGAGGAGAGGGCTGGGTGCTGCCTGGCGTTCCCTAGCAGGAAGGAAATAAAACCCCCGGCCTGGGCTGAAACCCAGAACCGGCAGCGCTGAGCCCCAGTTCTGGGCCAGACCCTGGAGACCCAGACTCGGGCAGGGGGAGACGGGGCTGTGAGGCGGAATCCCAGGGGAGCGGCGAAAAGCGGAGCCCCCGGAGTCGCGCACATTGTGTGCAGAGGACGGAATGTTGACTCTAATGCTGGATTCCCCTAGCGGGAAGGAGAAAAAAAGCTCCAGATTGGAGGAACTCGACAAGGAGCAGGAGCCCCTGCCTGACACCGGCCAGCCAGGCGCCAGCAAGGAGCCGGGCGATGGGGCCCCCGAGGGGGGGGTGCCCCTGTGCCTTCGACTGCTGAGCGCAGGCCACGGAGCCAAGACCAGGGGCTGCTTCCTGGGCGGTGCTGACCCCTGCAACAGGCTGAAGCAGCACAGGAGCTTGCAGAGAACAAAGGGGTGCCACAGGCCAACCTACTGAGCTTCCAGGACAAGGAGGAAGAAACCGAAGAAGTTTTCAATGTGAAGAAATCAAGTGAGAGCAAAAAATAGTAAAATTACTTAAAAAAGAATATAAAGAAGATCTTGAAAAATCGAAGACTAAGTCAGAACTCAACTCAGCAGCCAACATTGCAACATAAATGCGTTGTTTTTTTTAAAAAAAAGGACAGAATGTTGGAACAGTGGCGGCCAGGCTTAGAGTGGCCAGGCAGAAGGCAGTGGCAGCTGGGCCTGGAGCAGCAACAGCCAGGCCCCAGAGCAGCAGCAGCCAGAACCAGAGCAGCAACAGCCAGGCCTGGAGCAACCAGACCTGGGGCAGTGGCAGCCAGGCCTGAGGTGGAGGCGGCCAAGCCCAGGTTGGCCAGTCCAGGAGCACCCAGGCCCAGAGAAGCCGGGCCCAGAGCATCAGGGTCGGGAACAGCCAGACCCAGAACATCAGCAGCCAAGCCCAGAGCATCCAGGCCGGGAGCTGCCAGGCTCGGAGCAGCCGGGCCCAGAGCAGCCGGGTCGGGTGTGGCCAGGCCCAGAGCAGCAGCAGACAGGCTGGGAGCGGCCAGGCCCAGAGCGGCCGGGCCCAGATCAGCTGGGCCCAGAGCAGCCAGGTCGGGTGTGGCCAGGCCCGGAGCAGCAGCAGCCAGGCTGGGAGCGGCCAGGCCCGGAGCAGCAGCGGCCAGGCCCAGAACAGCCGGGCCCAGAGCAGCCAGGTCAGGTGCAGCCAGTCCCGGAGCAGCAGCAGCCAAGCCTGGAGCAGCCAGGTCAGGAGCGGCAGTGGCCAGACCCGGAACATCTGGTTGTGGAATGGACCAGAGCAACAGAGGCCAGGCCCAAAGCAGCCAGGCCCGGAACAGCTCGCTCCTCGCCTGCCTCCGCCCCAAGGCTGCCTCGAAGACATGGCTGGAAACTTTGGGGGGAACTTGAGGGTCTGCTGAATCAAATGAGGAAGGCTTAGATCTGGATGTGTTGAGTTAGTATAGTGCTGGGGTGTTGATCTGTGAGTGCCTTATGTGGGACCTGGATGAGGTTGGTTGACCTATTTGGAAATGTCTTTTGTGTGAAGTGTATCCTTGGGCATGTGGAGGTATTATTGATTTGAGAAAATGCTAAGTAACTGATTTACTATCTGAAAAATTGAAAGTTCTGAAAGTTTAAGGTCTCTTGGCAAAAAGAGGTTTTAAAGCTAACACCTTAATTTTAATGGAGAAAGGGAATGACAAGCCCTTCCCACCCAGAACAGGTAATCCAATTCCAACCAGCAGCTAAATTTAAACAATGTGTCCATTTACACTTGAATGGCTACACCTTTTGATAGCCTAAGGGCAAGTTTACATGTAAACAAGCTTGCTCTCAATTCCCAGGGCAGAAAAAAAACAAGGTTTAAAATTATTAGATTTTAAAATTTATCCTTAATAGTGTAAAAGTTTATCAATTAAAAAACAACAACAACAACAAAAGGAGATTGAAAAACCTGATGAACAATAATAGCGGTTCATTGTAGTAGAGTTGGTGATATGGGAGGGGAGTGGACTGACTGTTCTGGGGGATGCGGTGGGGGGTGGAAGGGAGGGCGGAAGAGACTGAACATAAACTGTTCACCTATGGATGAGGACAATGGGGGATGCAGAGAGGGTGGAGGGTGGGGTGGGAACCTGGTGGAAGGGGGAAGAAATGAACCTTTGTAATAATATGAACAATAAAGATTGATTTTAAAAAAAATTTTGTTAATCAGTATTTTTTTTATTGATCTCAAAGAGGAAGGGAAAGGGAGAGAGAGAGAGATGAAAAAACATTAGTGATGAGAGAGAATCATTAATTGACTGCTTCCTGGACACCTTGATCAACTAGGGATGGAGCTAGCCACCTTGGTATGTGCCCTGATTGGGAATCAAACCAGTGACTTCCTGGTTCATAGGTTGACGCACAATCACAGCCACACCAGGCAGGCCATGTAGATGTTTTGTGTATATGAGCCTTATTTTTCTTTCATATTTAGATCTTTATTCCAGTAGAAATTGGTTTTAAGTATGGTATGAGAAAGAGTTCAGCTCTCATTCTCTGTGTGCACACAGCATGATTTTCTTCTTTAGTGAAATCTGTCCCACAGTGACAGCCCTGTCCGATGTGAAGCACCATGGGTTTGGTTCTTGAGCCTTTATTTTATTCCATTGGTCTGTTTGTCTATCTCATACCCATACTAAAAATATTTCAATTCCTGTGGCTTTATAATGAGCCTTGATTCCTAGTAATTTAGATACTTCTACCTCATTCTTTTCCAAGAGTGTCTTACAGTATTCTTTGTCTTTTGTTTTCCTATATTTATTTGAGAATTAGATTGTCAGGTTCAGGAGAGGAAAAACATTTGCTAGGATTTTATATTTGGGTTGTGTTTAATTTCATTCAATAAGTTTTCTTCATAGAGATCTTATTAGAGTTATTTTTTAAAACTTGTTTTTTGTTTGTTGCTAGTATCTTTGATTTTTGTTCATTGGTGTAGTCAGTTACCTTGCCAATCTGTATATACTTTTGTATTTTTAATTACATAATATTTTCTACAAATAATGGCAATTATACCCTTTTTTAAATCTTATATTTAAAGATTTTTTTTTTCATGCTTTTTCTATTTGCTAGGACTTCGATGTTGTTGAATAGAAATGTTGATAATGGACATGCTTGAATCAAAAGGAAAGTTTTTGGTGTTTCAGCACTAAGCATTGTGTTTGCTGTACTTGTGCTGTAGGTACCTCTCATTCAGATTAAGAAAGTTCATTGATTTCTTGGTTTGCTGCTCTTTTTTGAAAAATCTCATGTTAAATTTTGTATGTTTTAAACATCTGAGATTATATTTTTCTTTTATTCTTTAATGTAGTTATTTACTTAATATAATTTCTGAAATATATTACAACATGACCATGATTTATTATTGTTTTCTGTATATTCCTGAATTCTTTGTGTTGGTGTTAGTTTAAGGAATTTGCATTTATGTATTTGTGTGATACTGGCTTGTAATGTCCCTGTCAGGTGTTGGTAAGCCTACCTATTTTGGCTTACTAAAATGAAGTATGTTTTGTTCTTTTTCATTTAATTTATTGGATTATTTACTTCTTAAATGTTTGGTGGAAATCACTAGTGCAGCCAGACAGAGCTTTTCTGTGTTTAAATTATAACTCTAATTTCTTAACATTTATTTAATATTTATGGGAAGTTGACATTTTCTATTACTTCATTTGTCAATATTTTAATTAAGTTGTCCTAGCATATTGTACTAGCATAAATGTCCTAGCATATTGTCACTGAGCTGTTTGTACTAAATTTTCATCATATTGAGATATAATTTATATACAATGACACGGTTAAGTATACTATTTAATAAATATTAAAATATGTTTTTCAAGAGCCAGAATGTTTTCATCACACCAGCTATCTTTTTTAAAGTCTATAGGATCTGCACTTATTTCTTTGCTCTCTCTCTCTTTCTCTCCCTGTCTTTCTCTCTCTTTAGTTATTTTTTTAAAATATATTTTATTGATTTTTTACAGAGAAGATGGTAGAGGGATAGAGAATTGGAAACATTGATTAGAGAGAAACATCGACCAGCCGCCTCCTGCACACCCCCCACTGGGTATATGCCCACAATCAAGGCACATGCCCCTGACCAGAACCAAACCCAGGACCCTTGAGTCCGCAGGCGGACACTATCCACGAGCCAAACCGGTTAGGGCTCTCTTTAATTCTTTTTTTTTTTTTTTTAATTTTTTTATTTTATTGATTTTTTATAGAGAAGAAGGGAGAGAGATAGAGAGCTAGAAACGTCGATGAGAGAGAAACATCGACCAGCTGCCTCTTGCACACCCCCTACCGGATGTGCCCGCAACCAACGTACATGCCCCTGACTGGAATCAAACCTGGGACTTTTTAGTCCACAGACAGATGCTCTACCACTGAGCCAAACCGGTTTTGGCTCTCTTTAATTCTTGGCATTGTTTATTTGTGCTTTCTCTTTTTTCCAGCTTAAAATTAATCAGTTTTACTAGTCTTTTTAGAGATCTAGTTCTTAATGTTTTCTACCTTCTCTATAGTGTTTCTTTTCTGTTTCACTAATTTCTGGTTATTATATCTTACCTTTTATTTAATTTTCTTTTTTTTCTAATTTATTGAGATACAGTATATGTTTAGTTCATTATTTTTATTCTTTTCTAATATATGCATGAAAATTTCAAATTTTTCCTCAGCAAGATTTTGGCTGCATTCCACATGGTTTCTATGTGGTAATCCCGTATCATTTGATTCAGTTCGTTTCTAGTTTCCATTGTGATTTCTTTGACTCAGGAGTTGGACAAGTGGCCACAAATACCCAGGGTGTCCCCGTTACATGTATAGTTTTTATTGCAATGCTCACTTTATCCGTGGTCTAAATTATAGGGACTGCAGTGTCTGTGTGCGCCTGCGCTGTGCTGAGGCACTGAGTTCAGAGTGAAAACCGGGTGCGCTGCACTGTCCCCCAACCAGCGTGACGAGGCCATCTCAGAGGAAGGGACTCCGGGCCCTGCTGCAGCCAGGCGGTTCGCTCTCAGTCTGCACCCAAGGCTCTCCATTTAGGTCATCCTCATCCCCTCAGTCGGCCCTTCCTGCGCTCCCGCGCCGCACCGCCCTCTCCTGGGCCGGGCACCAGCCCCGGGACGCCCCTTCCATCCTTTGTCGGTCCAGAGGACTGCTGTGCCTACTGTGCTTTGCAGCTGCTTCCCCATGACTGTCCGCCCTGCAGCTGTGGGTGCGGGCAGTGAGCCCAGCCTCACCCTGGGCACAGGCCATCTTTGCCAGTGAAGCCATTCCATCTCCTTCCATCCTCTGGCAATAGGGCCCCACCTTTACACTGCCCTCCACCAGGGGCGCTGCCCCCACCTCAGTGCTCTCTGCCCCCACCTCAGTGCCCTCTGCCCCACCTCAGTGCCCTCTGCCCCCACCTCAGTGCCCTCCACCACGGGCGCTGCCCACACCATCTGGCTCTGACAAAACACTGAATGGTGGCGGCCTCCTGCTGTGATTTTTTTAATTTCTGGCTCATTTGCTCTGATCTGAACATGTATTCCATGTGATTTCAGGCATTGAAGTTTACTGAGATTTGCTTTTTGACTCGGGTATGGTCAGTCTGGGTAAACAATTCATCTGGCTTTATATTCTACTAGAGGCCCAGTGCACGAACTTTGTGCACTGGGGCAGGGGTGTGCCTCAACCCAGCCTGCACCCTCTCCAATCTATTGTAGAACCCCTTGGCTCCCAACTGTTCACCTGTCTGCCTGCCTGATCACCCCCTAAGCACTCCTCTGCCAGTCTGATCAATACCTAACTGCTCCCCTGCCATCCCAATTACCCCCAACTGCCCTCCCCTGTCTCAGCCTGGTTGCCCCCAACTGCCCTCCCCTGAAGACGCAGTCGCGCGCGCGCCCCCTCCCCCCCCCCAACTGCCTTCTGTGCTGGCCTGGTCCCCCTCAACTTCCTTCCCTTCCCTGCTGACTTGATTGCCTGCAATTACCCTCCCCTGCCAGCCATCTTGTGGTGGCCATCTTTGACCACATAGGGACAGCCATTTTGTGTGAGGGTGTGAGGGTCAATTTGCATATTACCTCTTTATTATATAGGATAGTCATTAGGTGTAATGATTTTCCATATGTGCTCGTTAGGGCAAGTTTAGCAATATGTTATGTGTTTTATGTCTCTCTTAGTTTCTGAGAAATTGTTTTAAAATCTTTTTCTGTACCATGAAATCTTTCTCATTTTTGGTTTTGTCAAGTTTATGTATTTTGATATTGTTATTGAGTGGCTAGAAACTTAGAAGTTATGTATATATTTTTGACAAATTAACTTTTTATTATCGCTGGTAATACCTTTTAATTTTTCTTTTTGGGCCTTAAAGTGTGCTTATCTTTTTTAATATATTTCGTTATTGATTTCAGAGAGGAAGGGAGAGGAAGAGAGAGAGAGAAACATCAATGATTAGAGAGAATCATTGATTGGCTGTCTCCTGCATGCCCCCTACTGCGGATGGAGCCCACAACCCAGGCATGTGCCCTTGGCTGGAATCGAACCTGGGACCCTTCAGTCCACAGGCCAGCACTTTATCCTCTGAGCTAAACCAGCTAAGGCAAAGTGTGCTTATTCTAATGTGAGTCTTCCTTTCAGTTAGGGTTACATTGTATTTTTTTAACATTGTATTTTTTTCTTTTAAACCTTTATTTTCCATCCTCCTTTACTCTTATATTTTAGTTCAGTTTTTTTTTGTTTTTTTTTCCCACAAATAGCTCATATCTGTTTGTTCTTTCATTTGGTATAACAATCATTTAATTTGAACTTTTATCCCATTTATAGTTAGTATAATTACCCATAAGTTTGTCTTTTCTATATTACTCCTACATATTACATGTGTCTGATGTTTCCTTTTTCTCCTCAGTCCGTTTCTTTCAGATTAAATGAGAGTTATAATTTCATTTTCCCTCAATTAAATTATACACTTTTTTACAATCCTTTTAACGATTATTCTACCAATATGTATGTATGTCTGACTTTCCGAATATTGGTTATTCCGTATATTTTACCCACCTACCACACAGTGCAAAACAATGGGAGGTTTGGTGTCAGACTTGAGCTGCATGAAGAACCACTGGAGAACTTGGCAGAGCTGGCCCTGCGCCCGTTGGCACAGGCAGTCATAACCGGTGGCTGGGCGAGTCTGCTGCTCCAGCGCGTCTCCGCCGCCTCGCCGCGCCTTGCGCTGGCATCTCTGTCCTTCACTCCTCGGGAGTCCTTGATTGAGGGTTCCTTATGAAGCTGCCCCTCTGTTCCTCCCTTCCTGGGCTTCTTTACATGAAGAGTCATTTTTCATCTGCCTGAAGAATATTCTTTAACTTCCCTTTCTGTGAGCTCACTAGTAAAAGAATTGATTGTGGTAAAATGTACACAACATAAAATTTACCATGTTAGTCGTTTTTAAGTTACAACCCAGTGGCATTAAGTACCTTCATAGTGTTGTGTAACTGTCCATCTCCAGAGCTTTTCTATCCTCCCAAACATAAACTGTGCACCCATGCCAGTTTGAGTGTCAGCCTGTGGACCGAAGGGTCCCGGGCACATGCCCAGGTTGCAGGCTCGTTCCCTAGTAGGGGGCGTGGAGGAGGCAGCCCATCAGTGATTTTCTCTCATCATTGATGTTTCTGTCTTTCTCCCTCTCCCTCCCTCCATGAAATCAATAAAAATGTTGTGTTTTTTTTTAAGAGAATTACTCTTTATATATAACCACTAGTCTATTTTCTGTCTCTATGCATTTGCCTATTTACATACTTTTTGGAATCATACAATATCTTTCCTTATGCTTATTTCACGTGGCATGTGTTCAAGGTTCATTCACGTTGCAGCAGGCATCAGAGTTTTCTTCCTGTGCAGATGGTGTGATACTTCATTGCATACATGTACCATGTTGTGTTTACCCATCTGTGATGGACATTTGGCTTATTTCTGTCTTGGACTATTGTGGGTAATGCTTCTATGAACATTGTCTGACAAGCATCTGTTTGAGTCCTTCCTTTCAGTTCTTTTGTGTACATACCTGGAGTGTAATTGCTGGCTCATGATGGAACGTTTTATTATGTCAAACACAAAATGTTTCCTGAGAAAAAAGCTTCAAAGCATAGGTACAGTTGGCTAGAAAACGTGTGGGCTTCATCCATTTGGGATCAGGCCTTGGAGGACAAGATGAATTCAGAGCTTACGTTAAGCAAAACTGAACAGAAAGAGCCATACTCCATTTTGAAAGTTTGGCAGCAGTACTTTTTCTTAGAATTGCCCTCGTGGTGGAAGGTCTAGGTGCAGGCTCTTCGATGTTTTATGGAATCCCTAATTTTGTGGTTTTTAAAAACACCACAGGTAAGTATTTTAGTTTCTCTAAGGTTTTCGGAAAGCACCTTTTAAGTTCTGAAAATTTGTGACTGGCACATGTTATGTGATGAGCAGCTAACATCACTAATTTGCTATGCGTTTATTTAAATTTTCCCCTGAACTTTACATTGCTGTATTGTTGGTTTTGTTACCAATAGGATTTGCCCAATAACATGATCCATCAGGTGCCAATTAAGTCGCTCCCCCAAGAATGGCTGTGGTGCGAGACGTGGTGTGATGACGCCTCTAAGAAAAGGGCCAAGACCATTGACTTGGTAAGCTGGCTGCCATGCCTGCCTGTCCCGGTGTCTGTCCCGGGTGAGTGACCATAGTCTCATCCGTCTGCCTCTGCAGCGTAGGGTTAGGGGATGCGGGGAGCAGCCCTCCGGTGTGTGCGGCATCCCGAGCCAGCCTGCTCCGCTCTGCGGCCGCCTCGGTGGCTGAGGCCTGAGCACTCCGCTCTGCCGCTGCCCCCCTCCAACTCCCCCCCGCTCTGCTGAAGCCCGTGTGTCCTGGTTTTCAGTGTAACAACCCCATGACCAAAGAGCCCAAGCTGGAGGCAGCCGTCCGCATTGTCCCGGAGTGGCAGGACTACGACCAGGAAGTCAAGCAGCTGCAGACCCGCTTCCAGGAGGAGAAGGCGGCGGCCCGGGGCCTGGGGCCGTTGCAGGAGCCTCGCGCAGACGGTAGGCAGACGGTAGGCCGGCGGCTCCAGGAGCCTGCCTCGCTGAGTTCTGGTCTCGGGCTGCAGGCAGCAGAAGAGTGGCCCCTGTCGGGCGCCGTCCATGTTCCTCACTCCCCCTCAGCCAGCCCGCCCACAGGCGTGCTCACCCCTAAGTCCCTGCCTTTTTTTTTTTTTTGAGAAAGGGTGCTTGTATTGTTGTTTAGATTCAGGAGTTTTTTGTTACATAAGCCAAACCTGACAGTAGATTAAAATCTCTTGCCAGACCCTTGGTTTTTCATGACTCTGTCCAGGCACCAGTAAGTGGACACATTTAGGACCGGCAAAGGTGCGTGTCTGTGACTCAGGCCACGAGTGGAGAGCCGTCTGCACGTCGGCCTCGCTGTGTGTCTCCTTGAACCCTGGCCATTAGGGAGAGTTAGAACACAGCGTGGCCTTCTGTGAACTGCTCAGCTGCGTTCTGGACTTAACACTTACTCGGCTCAAAACTAACTGAATAAAGCAGCTGCAAACAGGGGTCAGGAGCCATGCACCAAACTTCCTGAAGGTTATATCGTGATACTGCCTATCACAGCCAAAGGGTGGATGCCTAAGGTAAAAATAATTCACAGTCACTGGTAAAACTTCAAGGATTTCCGCGTCGGGCAGAGAATGGGCATCCTGCTCAGTCAGGGAAGCGCATGGTGCGCGATCCGAGGGACCCTGGGGAGCGAGCGGAGAGGCCCCGGCCTCAGTGGTGCCGGGCCGCCCCCTTCCGCTCGCAGGTGGTCACCTCCAGGAATCACTCCGCAGAGAAGTTATGGAGAAATTACGTGACAAAGCCTAAGGCGTTGAAAACACCTTAAACACCCAAGCATACCAGTAGAGATGGTAAATGAGCTACGTGGGAAGGTGTTTATTAAAGGCGAAAGGAAGGCCTGACTGAAATAGTGCATTTTACTGGAAATACTGTGCTTTGAAATAGTTCCTATTGTGTAGGGATACGCAGGTAGTTTCCTTGTAAAAATACAGATGTCTTTGTTGTTGTTTTTGCTGTCAAGCACATGAAACAAAAGTTTCTAAAAATTTAAAGAGATAAAATGCAGGTGTGGGCACAAATAACAGGGCAGAGTACTAGAACATGTCCAATCTGCATTTTATGACTTTCTTTGCAATTACTGTCTTTTTCTATAGGACCTCAGACTCATGAAGAATTATAATCTGCAGAGAAGGAGAGGAAATCGCATCATTTGAAGAACACTTTTTGTATTAAACGCTCTTTCTCTCTGACCTGTCTATACAACTGCTGACTCGGCTGGGCAGGAGCCCAGCACCTTTGGATTCAGAGCTTTTGCCTTGGCGGCTCTGAGTCTTTGGAGTGAAGGCCCTCGTGGACTTGTACCTCAGAGGAAGACCAGTGGCTGAGCTTCCGGGACTCTGTCAAGAGCCATCTTCTAACCGGAGGGAAACCGGCCACAGCACGGGGAACCCAGCCTGTGCGCCACCCCCTGAGCCACCGCCCCGCAGCCTCCTGCCTGCTGCCTCCTCGCTGGCAGCAGCCCAGCCCGCAAGGCCGGCCGCGCCCACGCCTCGCGGTTTGGCCCGAGCCCAGCCCGCCTCTCCCGGCACCCCCGGCACCCCCCCTCCCCCGGCACCCCCGGCACCCCCCATCTCCCGGCACACCCCCTCCCCCCCCCGCCTCTCCCGGCACCCCCCCTCCCCCGGCACCCCCGGCACCCCCCATCTCCCGGCACCCCCGCCACCGCCCCCCCGCCTCTCCCGGCACCCCCCCTCCCCCGGCACCCCCGGCACCCCCCATCTCCCGGCACCCCCGCCACCGCCCCTCTCCCGCCACCGCCCCTCTCCCGGCACCCCCCCTCCCCCCCTGCCTCTCCCGCCATCTCCCGGCACCCCGCCTCTCCCGCCACCCCCGCCACCCCCGCCTCTCCCGGCACCCCCCCCTCTCCCGGCACCCCCGCCGCCTCTCCCGGCACCCCCCCCTCTCCCGGCACCCCCCCCTCTCCCGGCACCCCCCCCCCCCCTGCCTCTCCCGGCACCCCCCCTCCCCCCCTGCCTCTCCCGCCCCCCCCCTCTCCCGGCACCCCCCCTCCCCCCTGCCTCTCCCGGCACCCCCCCTCCCCCCCCGCCTCTCCCGCCCCCCCCCCTCTCCCGGCACCCCCCCTCCCCCCTGCCTCTCCCGGCACCCCCCCTCCCCCCCTGCCTCTCCCGCCCCCCCCCCCCCCCCCCCGCCCCCCCCCTCCCCCCCTGCCTCTCCCGCCGCCCCCCCCTCCCCCCCTGCCTCTCCCGGCACCCCCGCCACCTCCCCTCTACCAGCACCCCCGCAACCCCCCCCGCCCCCCGCCGCTCCCGGCACCCCTACCCCCCTACCCCTCCCCCCCGCCTCTCCCGACACCCCCCCTCCCCCGGCACCCCCTCCACACACACACACACACACACACACACCGCCGCCCCCCCCCCCCCTCTCCTCGGAGCAGCCAGCAGGGCCGCCGGGCTCGGGCCGGGAGAACTGAAGAGGGGGCTCTGGGGCCGGAGGGAAGAGCAGGGATGGGCTGTAAACATGGAAATGAAAACCTGTTCCCACCCACCTCGCTGAGTACTTTAGGTCATTGTTTGGAAACCGTTTTTGTATCTGTGAAAGCGTTTGCTTTCCCCCATTTTCTAAACATTGTTTTTACTGCTTTCCTGACTGGGACCAGCCAGAGGCCGGGAGTCACCCTGTCGCCCCCCGGAGGGGAGGGGAGGGGAGGGGAGGGGAGGGGAGGGAGGGGAGGGGAGAGGAGGGAGGGGAGGGGAGGGAAGGGAGGAAGGGGAGGGGAGAGAAGGAGGGGAGGGGAGGGAGGGGAGGGGAGGGAGGGAGGGGAGGGAAGGGAAGGAGGGGAGGGGAGGGGAGGGAGGGAAGGGAAGGGAAGGGAGGGGAGGGGAGGGAAGGGAAGGAGGGGAGGGGAGGGGAGGGAGGGAAGGGAAGGGAGGGGAGGGAAGGGAAGGGAAGGGAGGGGAGGGAGGGAGGGGAGGGAGGGAGGGAGGGAGGGAAGGGAAGGAGGGGAGGGAAGGGAGGGAAGGGAGGGAAGGGAAGGAGGGGAGGGAAGGGAAGGAGGGGAGGGAAGGGAGGGGAGGGAAGGGAAGGAGGGGAGGGGAGGGAAGGGAGGGGAGGGAAGGGAAGGGAGGGAGGGAAGGGAGGAAGGGGAGGGGAGGGAAGGAAGGGAGGGGAGGGAGGGAAGGGAGGGGAGGGAGGGGAGGGAAGGGAGGGAGGGGAGGGAAGGGAAGGAGGGGAGGGAAGGGAGGGAAGGGAGGGGAGGGAAGGGAAGGAGGGGAGGGAAGGGAGGGAAGGAAGGAGGGGAGGGAAGAGAAGGGAGGGGAGGGACGGGAGGGAAGGGAGGGGAGGGAGGGAGGGGAGCGGAGGGGAGGGGAGGGAAGGGAGGGAGGGAGGGGAGCGGAGGGGAGGGGAGGGAGGGGAGGGAGGGAAGGGAAGGGAGGGAGGGGAGGGGAGGGAAGGGAAGGGAGGGAGGGAAGGGAGGGGAGGGAGGGGAGGGGAGGGAAGGGAGGGAGGGGAGGGAGGGGAGGGGAGGGGAGGGGAGGGAAGGAGGGGAGGGAAGGGAGGGGAGGGGAGGGAGGGGAGGGAAGGAGGGGAGGGGAGGGAGGGGAGGGAGGGGAGGGGAAGGGAGGGGAGGGAGGGGAGGGAGGGGAGGGGAGGGGAGGGAGGGGAGGGGAAGGGAGGGAGGGAGGGGAGGGGAGGGAGGGGAGGGAGGGGAGGGAGGGGAGGGGAGGGAGGGGGGGGAAGGGAGGGAGGGAAGGGAGGGGAGGGAGGGGAGGGAGGGGAGGGAGGGGAGGAGGGGAGGGAGGGGAGGGGAGGGGGGGGCTCCTCCTCCTCCTCACCGGCTCCGAGCCGGCCTGCAGGCGCTCAGCTCCGCCCGGCCAGGGCTCCTGTCCGCCGGCCTCAGGGCGCACGGGGTCGCTCAGCGGGGTTTAATGTGCGGGTCTTTTAAACCCGTCTTATGATAAATATCAAGTGCTTTATCGTGTCCGTACTCCAGGCGGAAGGGAGCTGAGGAGTCCCCACTGTGACGGGGCTGGGAGTTTGCTCCTACAATCCTAAGCCTGGCCAGAGGCAGGAGCGGCCTGTCCTGGGCCGGCCCCAGGCCGCCGAGCGAGGAGCCTCCCCTCAGCCCGGCCGGCCTGTCCCCCGGGGCCTGTCCCCCGGGCCCTCAGTGCCGGCCTGTCCCCCGGGGCCTCTGGCGGCCTGTCCCCCGGGGCCTCTGGCGGCCTGTCCCCCGGGCCCTCAGTGCCGGCCTGTCCCCCGGGCCCTCAGTGCCGGCCTGTCCCCCAGGGCCTGTCCCCCGGGCCCTCAGTGCCGGCCTGTCCCCCGGGCCCTCAGTGCCGGCCTGTCCCCCGGGCCCTCGGTGCCGGCCTGTCCCCCGGGCCCTCAGTGCCGGCCTGTCCCCCGGGCCCTCGGTGCCGGCCTGTCCCCCG